CGTAAAAACGGAGTATATGAGAGAATCAGTGAAATTATTAATCTATTATCTAAATTTCCAAAGTGGCATTCGATTTACAATGCTCCGCCAATGAAAGCAAACGAGAGTTCACTTTCTCTCTTCGATCAGGCGTACGACTATACCGTGACGACGGGAAAAGCTTTCGTGAATTTCATATTCATAGACTGAAGTAGCGCCGCAAATGACCTAGCGAATTACGTGACCAATAAAATGCGCCGTTTACAAGGAGTCGTCGTAAGATTCCTGTCACACACGCTCGCCTCTGCACTCGCGTCGCGTTAATTATGAAGTTTTTTTTTTCTATTTCAACAACGCAACTTGAGCCGCTCGAGTCTTGACTTTAGCCCTCTGCACTCAAATGTTGAGAAACGTTGAGAATGTAGCAGAAATTGCGCGTATGAGGCACTCGTGTATCTAATATTATCGAGCAAATTCTTTGTATGTCGTTTGCATTTGCACAAGTTTAAGTTCAGCCGTTACACTTCTTGAGTAAGAAACGAATTGATTTGCGCTATTTTTACAAGGCTAACATAATAGAACAGTGATCACAAAAATTTTGCCGAAGTTCGTGAGGTTGACGACAAACGCGCAGTCTCTGCAGCTGTGAAAAATCAATTTCGTTTATTGCTTTATCGTGTAGGATAGTTTTCAAGTTAGTTGTGTTTCTAAAACCAATCTAATGACACGTCAATTGTTTTCTAATGTAAATAACTAACTCACAAATCGCGTTATGAATAATCATATCTTGCTCTACGGTTCTAATGTATTCGAGGTGTGCCAGAAAAGTCAATTTAAACAGAATTACTCGAGTTTAGATTACACATACTTTTGGTAACGTTTACACTATTTTACAAATAATATACTATATCATTTTAGCTGTAAACCTAAATCCCTCTAGACGGAAAGCGGAATATCTTATGAGCAGTCCTTTATCGTCTGCCCAATGCGAATACGTGTGCGACAGTATGAAAGTATGCTTTCGAAATACATAATGCGAAATATCACGTTTGTCTAACTCGCTTTTCTCTCTGTCTCTCTCTCTCTTTCTCTCTTTCTCGCTCTGCTGTCATTTCATTCATTCTCTTATGTTCTATTATGTATATATAGCTTAATATATAGCTATATATAATATAGCTATATACTTAAAGCGTACTTTAAGCGACCTATATTTCATGACAGAATTCAAGGCAAAACTTGTGCCGTATAATACAAAAAATATGTTCAAAGAGTCAAAATATACGCGTATACAGAATACATATCGCAATGCACGGCACGTTAAATGTAAGTGTGACATAGAATCGTGTCTCGAACTTCGCCCATCAGGTAGATCGCCTAAAGTAGGCTTAATATAATGTACTGATAAAGATTCCAATTATATATACCTATACATAATCATATGTATATATATATACCTCTCTTCAACATGTAATATTATACATCATACGCATTACGATATATACGGGTATCTACAGATATACAAAAAAACGCGGGGCGTTTTCTCCGCTCTCAAACGAGAATTAACTATTATTTACCGACGTTCAGTTTACGATGCACACGCGCGTTCGTATACCTCCTGTGAATGCATGCCCGTGTCTGTGTGCACATGATGGGCACTGGGGATGCATAAAAATGCGTGGACTACGCGGTCACGCAAAGTGCTTGAGTATAATATATATATATACACACACATATATACATATATGTATATATGTATATTTATACGTGCCCTCTCTCCCGCGCGACACGCGACGCGTACATTAATTTATATTTATTTTCAAGTATAGTATCACATGTTTTACTCATCCGACACCGCTCTCACTTTTTCGCTGGCACTGCTTTTCGAGATTTACGCCGCTCCCTTACCGCAACAACGCAACCCTCTCAACGGGGTGCGCTCGCCTTTAATATTAATCGAAGATTTTCAAGTACCGATCGGTTCATCGCCGCGGGCCTCGTGCAATCGTAATAAGCATCGTCGTGAATCGTTCGCGAATTTTTAACACCCTCAAGCGATTCTGTTAATGGTATTATTACATACGAGATATGTGTGAGGGCTGGGTATATCGAAAGCTCGTATCTTTCCATGTTGGAACCAAGTTTGCGAGGAGGAAACCATTATTTATACACGATACTATGACTTTATTATTCTCTCATGTAGAGTATTTTATCTAATTTGATAATTTAAAATGTGAAAGTGAAAAAAAAACAGAAAAGGATATGAGACAGATCTGATAGATTGGTAAGCGCCGACAGACGATTTTCATGAAGCAATAAACTGAATCCATCGTCTATTCTTGAAAAACAATTTCGTATAATTTTATAATTTTGTTGTATCTCGCGATAAGAACTCGAGACCAAAATCCGCATATTACACGCTGCACAAAAATAATTACGATACAAAACGAATGGGGAAAAATCTAGCAATCTAGTTCAACAAATTTATACGATTGTCAATTAAGGTAATAGCACGCGGTTAATAATAATTATCGGCAATTACACGACTCAATGAGATATAAAATGTTTTTGTTTTTTTTATGGTAAAAAGAAGCAGGCGACAGGTAAAGCAGAAAAGCCAACGTTATTCGCAGTTCGAATTGTATTAATAGCTGTACGAAGAAAATAGATAATTTGCAAACATAGATCTCATTATTTTTATAATAGTTGGGAACGTTTATATAAAATCTTCTGGATATCACTAGCAATAACAAATAATACTGGAGTAAGTTCTGATATTTTACATTTTGAAAACTATCCGTAACAAAAGTTTATGTGCAAAATCATTTAATTCGTGGTAAGAAATTCGAATGGTAACAAACAACCACTGATTATAGACTTGAAGTATCTGCAAAAAATTACGAAGAAGACACTCGACGCGAGAAAATTTATTGTAGTTTACATTTTAATTTGAACATAAAATACTGATCTTTGTAACGATTTATTTAAATTTATTTATAACAGAAAGACTTATAGTAGAAGGCAACCAAGTCAAAGCTAAAACGCAACAAAATGAAGATTCGATATTAAGTTTTAATTTTAATGCGGCTTTATAAAGAATCCTCTTTCGGCGCGTTTCTTTCCGTGCAGTTTCGCTTTCCTTTTATTAATTTCGTTGAACGAGATCGTTGCGAATTCAACTCAAAGGTCGTCCATAAATTCAAGTGCGTGCCCGGTTATATTGCGTAATCTCTCGGTGTGATGAGGTACAAGAAATAGAGCGTACCGGCTAGATGCGCTGTGGCTATCGCGTGAGAGTACGTCGATGTTACTACTGCATGAAAAATGCTCGTACGATACGTCGAAATGATTATATCGGACTCTTCGACTACGATAAACGCGGAAGTACTAGGGGTTTCAGCGTCTTCGACGTGCAAATACCTCTCCTAAATATCTATTTCCCCGCACACGGAACAAATAAGTCCCACGAGCGAGTTGCGATGAAATAATAAAGATAACGTCCCAAGTATTATAAACAGACATTCAGAAATAGTATAGAAAAAAATCGAGTCGCGCGACGCTTTCCCGCGGGTTCACGAAACATTTGTAATTGTAAAGTGCTCTAGCGACGTAAAATTCTATTCATAATTTCACGCGCCGTATATTATGCCATTCAAACGTTCTCGGCTATTGCATGCCAAAAAATTATGAATAGAAGTCTCTCACGAATTAAAGATGTCGTTTAAAGTGGGTTTTAATCTTCTCTATCACGACTGTTGTTTGCAATTGTACTTGAAACGATGCTTACGAAGTCATTGTCAGTGTAAGTGACAACATACAGTAACGGACATAAGTTTAAGACGCGCAAGTGTAATAGATCGTACGCGGGTAAATATTATTTCCCTTTCCGCTTTCCTTTTTTTTTCCTCTCAACATAGTACACTTAAAGTTTTGGCCACATTTAAGAATGCGAATATTGTTTCTATTTCCACAAGTATTTATTTTCGCGTGATCCACATTTTATTGTTATACATACCAAAAATAGACTCTTAAAAAATGCAATAAACGACAAACTTGAAGTGCTAATTTTATTTTAGACATGACTTTATCAATGACAATATAAATATATAAAAATATAAACTTATATAAAATACAAATATATACAAATTTACTTCCTTTCGCATATGCACTGCATATCTATATGTAAGGAAATTATTTTTATATAAAGTCTATATTCGTCGGTTATTGTGTGTAAAGAAAATAATTCTGTTTCTATGATATAGTCATGTAAATTATTTATTCCATTTCTTTACATCTTTTAAACTTCTGTTACCGCTACTGCAATTTAACGTGAGAATTTATTCACTAGTTGCAATGATCGAAGGCTCGATCTAACCCGAAGAGAAGACATAAAAAGAAAGCGAGTGGAGAATAGAATATAAAGCGTAGGCTGAAAATTAAAAGAACTCTTCATAGAGAGAATAATAGCTTAGAGAATGTTGTAAAATTCTGCTGAATAATTTGCAAAGTGTGTAAGTGTGCATGTTAAAAAGTAACGATAATGATTACAATTATATTACATGTATTTTACATGTAATAGCGACTCATGAGAATAATAATACATATAATATGAAGAATACTCGCGTTTGTCCAGCATCGCGCAGTAACACAACATAAAAAGAATGGATCTCCGCGACGATGAACCGTAATTGTGAGCGAAACGAAATACCCCGAGGCCTACCTCCCGGCAACGTTTACCGTCTGTAGACGACGTTCTCCTCTTCCTCGTCCTCGTTCTCGTCATCGTACTCGTCGTCATCGTCGGGTGGCCAACAGACGACGGCGTCGACGACATCGTTGTCGGGACGACGCGCGCGTCGACGTGGCTGCGCTCGCAATGGCGACGAGAAGGTGGACGAGGTCGCGGGCGACGTCGGACCCGCGCTGGTCGCGGACGCCGTGATCGCGGGCAGGTCCGGCATCGGGGTTGGTATCGGTGCGGCAGCGGTCGCGACGTAAGCCGCGGCGGCAGCGACTCAGGCCAAAGCGTAAGGGTGGGTAGCGTGATGTCACAAGCCCGGCGCCGCGGTAGCAACAGCGGGCGGTGGAGGAGCGCTCGTGGTCGCCACGCTCGTCGCGTGATGATAAAGCGGGCTCTGGTAATATTCCTGATGATGATGATTCGTCATGTGCATCGGCCCGGCGGCGTTCGCGCTGGCGTGCATGCCGTTGTGATGATGGTGGCTGGGCGGCGCCGAGTGCGCGTGCGGATGATGCGGCGAGCCGAAGTTGGCGTAGCTCTGGTGCAGCTGCTCGTACATCTTCATCTCGGGCGGCTTGGTGTCCTGGGCGCCGGGAGAAGTACCGGTGGTGTCGCGCGGCAATAACCTGTTGATGCTAAACGGATGATTGGCCGCCGTTCCGTAGATCGGTTCCTGCTTCAGGCTGCCGGTCATGCCGTGGTGGAGACTCGCGGTATCGGACAACAGCTGCGGGTGGATGCCGCGGCTGACCATCGCGGTGAGTTCGTCGTGCGCGGCGGTGAGATCGGGCCCGAGGAGGCCGCCGATGTCATTGGTGTCACTCTTGAGCGCGGTGTGATGCTGATGCAGGCTCGGATGATGATGATGGTGCGACACCAGCGAGTGCAGGTCCTTGTCGTCCTGCGGCTGAGGGCCGCCATGGTGGATGGACGAGCCGGTCTTCTTGGTACCAGGCGCGACCTCGTGAGTGGGTGGACTGTGCTGGCCGGCGATGGTCGCGCCAGACGCCACTGCCACCGCGGTTGCCGTCTGATGCTGATGTTGCTGATGTTTGGTCGTCTGTCTCGTTAGCTCCTTCTTCTCGTCTTTGAACCTCTTCTGACGTCGCAGATAGCAACCATTCTCAAACATATTGCCGCTGTCAGGATGCAGCGTCCAAAATGACCCTTTGCCGGGTTTGTCCGGCGTGCGCGGCACCTTGACGAAACAATCGTTAAAGCTCAAGGAGTGCCTGATGGAGTTTTGCCAGCGTTGTTGATTCTGCCTGTAAAACGGGAACAGGTCCATGATGAACTGATAGATCTCCGAGAGGGTCAGCATCTTGTGAGGTGCGTTCTGTATCGCCATGGTGATGAGGCTGATGTAGGAGTACGGCGGCTTCGCGTGGGTGTAACTACGCCGATAAGACTTGTCGCTGCGGGCGCGCTGGAGCGCCGAGTTGGGCGAGTCCGGCTCCGTCAGGGCGAGCGGGTCCCGGCTGATACCGCCGGTACCGCCGCCGGGAGTCAGCGGGCCGTATCCGACGGCGCTCATGCAGGCGCTGCCGGCGCCCATGGAAGCGCCGCTGTACCCGCTCATCCCGCCGCCACCCATCGACGCCATTCCCATCGCCGAGCTCATGGTGCTCATGTTGAAGCCGCCGGCGCCCTGGGGGCTGCAGCTGGGCCCGACTCCGACTCCCATCGACATGCCCATCGGCACGCAGCCCATCGAGTTTATCGTGCTGTACGTGGGCGCCATGCTGCCCATACTGGACATCGCGGCGCTGGTCATGACACCAGTATCGCCGTACAGCTTTTGCGACTGAAGCATGGTCATAGAGCTCACCGGTGTCGGGGTGGCCTGCTGTCGCGTCGTCGCTGTCAAACGAGAATCATGAAATCCGCGGTACCACTGCTGCTGGCAGTCGAGTATTCCCTTAATCTTCCGGACGAATCCGAGATCGATCCGCGCTTCCGCCAAGGGGCCCTCTCCAATTGCTCCTCCGTCGAGTCACAAGTCACAAGAGACCGATCCTCGAGTCGTACGCACAGGAGATGCACGGGGACGCGACCGCCCGCGGGGAAATCGCCTCGCACTTAAGGAAAGACCAACAACTTCACCAGAAAGAAGAACATCACCAAGTATCCCCCCCCTCGGAGCGGTAATGCACTGAACGGCACTGTGTCGACGAAACTCTGATCTGTCACAGAACCGAAGCGAAACGCGGGGACATAATATTCCCTTCCCCCGCGCGAGAAGAAGAGTTACCAGCGTATCTTTCTATCGGTGAGAAGGGCGTCCGCGCCGCGTCAGCGGAAACAACGAGGGCCGAGGGCAATTGACCAACTCTGTTCACTTGTTGTTGTTCTTCTTCTTCCTCTTCCCGGAACACAATGCCACAGTCCGTTTGTTCGCGGGAAGATGCGCATTCGATGCACGAAGCGGACGGGAGCGGACGCGAGCGCGAAAATGAGTACCCCCCGCGGGAGAGACAGGGGTAATTGTTACCCCAACACCATGGAGGGCACACGGCGAACGTGAAGGCCGACGACAGGAAAAGAGCCCAGGCTCTCGCTCGCGTGTTGTACGACGTGGACGAGTGCGCGAAACAACACCAACCACTATACGGTGACGGCCGCTCGTCGACGGTCGCGCGCGCGGTCGGTTATTTGATCGAGCGGGGCCGCTGTTTGAGCCGCCTCACCACCTCTCACCACACACTCCGCCTCGCGTACCGACGAGTCTCTCTCTCCTCTCTCTGTGTGCCGTGTTGTGGATGGAGGCCGGTTAGCGAGTGTACTCCGCTACTCTTGAGTCGACGGCTTGTTCAAATACACCCCACCAGCGGGCCGCGGGAGCCGCGCCCGACGCCGCCCGGTCGACCAATCGCGGCCCGGTCGTACCTCCGCTCGTACCTCGTCCGGCCAATCCGACCGCCGCTCCGGCGCGGCCGCCAGTCCCCCTGATCGCTGCATGAATCGCACGTCGTCGGCTCGTGCGTGCCGCGCGCGGCCCTTTCCCCTCTGACGCCGTACGTGACGACGGAGCCGAAGCGTGATACGCGCATGCACCGTGGCCCGCACGCACGAGATTGAGCTCGCTCAGCGGAACCGGCTTGCGCAATTCCACGCGAGACGCCTGGCTCCACGACGTTGCCGCGCCGCGCCGCGCCGCGCCGTACCGTGCCGCGCCGCCGTACCGGGCCGTACCACGCCATGCCGCGCCGCGCCGAACTGAGCCGGGCCGCGACGGCCACGCCGCGGCACGGTTCGGCCGGTCCTTTCTCATGTCATGTTATTGTCTGCCACGCGTTTGATAACCGGCACCTTCGTCCGTGCGTGCGTACGTGACGCGCTCTTGCCGCGAGCCTTCTCTCGCGAACGACTTCCGGCGACGCGCGCGTTTTCACCCCATCCGATTCACCGTCACTCGCGTCTTGTCCCTTTTTCCGACTTGCCGGGATCGTCTTACAATAATGCATGAATTGGAGTCGAAGATCGACGGCTCGATGTCGTTTCGTTAACCTGCGAGTGAATCTGAACGTGAACGAGGTGAACTATTCGCGCATAGTGTCCGCAGGAGACCGCGAACAAAACGCCGGTTGATCCACGAGGGTCGGCATGGAACAATCATGGATTGAAAGTTTGGAATACAACGTGAGGAACATAAGTACAATGTGATTTGTATATCGTAATTGTATATACACAGGGTGTTATGTAATACCCGCCTCACCTCTTTACGTATAGAGCGGACTAGACCGAGTCGAAAAGTCCTCTATCATTTTGAAATTTTCACAACAGTTGACACAAGTTATTAATTATTACAAATCGCTATCTTAGCCCGGCCTACCACCCAATTAAAGCGCGCCGCGAGATGCGGCTGTCCCGCGATCGGCGTTGCTAGGCGCGCGAGGAATTGTTTATTATACGTCGCCCTTGTCGTGTGTCATAAACAATTACCCGCGCGCCTAGCAACGCTGATCGCGGGATAGCCGCATCTCGCCGCGAGCTTCAATTGGGCGGTAGGCCGGGCTAAGACAGCGATTTTTATTAATTAATAACCGAGGGGGAAACCGCTGACCAAAATCTTGTGCACCAATGCCCACTAATGCCCAGTGGGCATTACTTTATCGTATTATCTTATCTTATCTGATTTTATTTTATCTTTATAATGCCCCAGCAAGGCCTAATACACACAAAATGCCTAGTAATGTCCAGTAATGCCGCAGATCTGCACACCACAATGCCCTCAGCGGTTTCCCCCTCCTTAATAACTCGCTAACTATTGCGAAAATTGCAAAATGGTAGAGGACTTTCGACTCAGTCCATGTATAATTACAAGAGCTCCAACAACTACTGTCAGGGACTATATGAGGAAAAACTTAAATAACATTTTATTTTCTTTAATATTCAAACTTGTTTCATTTAAATATTTGTAAGATAGTGCATCTTTTAGTAATTAATAATTATTACACATTTTACAGATTAGAAAATAGTATTCGGAGATTCTTAGTTCGCGTGGTTACGAATTAAAATCTCTGATGCATCATTCTTTATTTTCATCTAATATTAACTAAATCTCTCTCTCTCTCTCTCTCTCTCTCGTTCGCTCCCTCGCTCGTTCGCTCAATCGCACAATCTGATAGGTATATAGTAAATCATAAGATTTAACAAGTAAATCTTTAAAACCGAATGTATCGTTCATGCAGGTAATACGAGAGTTGGAATAACGACTTTCCCTTCTATAAAATTTTCATTTCTAATAGAAACTCAAATGCATTACGCGTTATGACACGCTTTTCGCGCTCGTTGTAAGTTTGCTCAATCGTTTATACCATCCGACATTATTGTCAAATGTCTCTTTTGCATCTAAAAAGCCCTCTTGCGTCTAGTATGTCGTGATAAGTATATTGGAAATTTTCTAATTCTATTTATTTCGAGTGGACGTCTTTCAATTCCTCTGACACTTTATAAAGCACGTAGATAAAAAGTAAGGGTGCCCCGGTATTTTATAGAAAGGAGAAACAAAGGCTATGTTAAGCTACACCTGTGTCTGCCCACATTCTCCACCCACGGACTCATTTGAATTCTCATTGACGTCAGCGAAATTTTTTCGATGCTTTATTCACGCGAGGTACCATTTACTCTGCGTAAACGCTGTCGCGTGTCATTTACTCGTATTATCTAAACACAGCAAGTCTCGCAATGTTAATAGCTAATTTGTTTCGCTTTTCTTCGTTTTCCGAAGAAGTTATCTCTGCCCATCCGACGCGTGAATCAAGAATGCGTCAATATCCGTCCCGATAACGTTCATAAATAGCCTGGACAATTTTAAGTAATTACAAACTAGATAAGATAACATTCTAACAGAAATACCGGTTTAACTGTGTGAACAACTAGGATTTAAGTTCTTTACAACATTGACAGAAAATAAATCATCGAGATTATCATTGAGATTATCGAACGAATATGAATTTTTATTTTAATTCTCAATATAAATATATTTTTCACATTGCGCATAAAAAATCATGGAAATTTTATATTATCTAGAACTCTTAATAATACAGTAACGCAGTAACATATATCGAAACAATATATGTGCATCTGTGAACTACAAGAATAAGATACAAAGTTTCAAATCAGAACAAAATTGAACAGTTGAAAATTTATTCTTATCGATTAGCTACAAATTTTTTAAACAATATTGAAACAATGTAGAGTAATTTGTTTTATCGAAGAAATAAAAGTTGTGTTTTTTTTAATATAATTTTATACATACTCGTACATACGTATGGATGTATACATATATGTATATGTATAAAAGGATTGGAAAGTTTTAGTGTTTTCTTATACTAAAGTTATGGTTATTTTTATCGTAACTCCCAAGAAAAATAGAAGCAAAAGTGCTTATCGAAATTACATTCATTCCTTTCTGAAGATGACGCATTTCAACCCAGATTCTCACATCTCTGATTAATATTAACATTAAATTAAAACTTGCTAAACAATGAAAAAACTCATAAACATCAAAGAAATGTAGTTATATTGCAGTTATATTACAGAAAGTATGGGAAATGACAGAAATTTATAACGGTGTTTCCATCCATTGTAAAAAAAAATGGTAAAATTTATGCGGCGTACTCTGTGTTAAAAGGTACTGAAAAACGTTTATGACAATGAATAGCCTCGTCATTTTGCTGATCGATCCCGTCGGCGTCCACCGACATGGCGTCCATTAGCCGACGGGGAGAAACCGACAGCACGCAACGGTCGCGCTAAATAACGTTCTCTTTTTTTTTTACTGTCGATGTGTTCCTACAATTGTTACAATTGTAGGAACATCACGATATCCACGTGACATTATTTCGATATATTACAAAATTAACTCGCTCACGGCAAAGGAGAAGTCTAAGAATAAAAAGAAAACGCGAGTATAAAATTATTTTATACGATTTATTTTCGAGAAAGCGCAATTCTAGGGAAGATTTTTTTTATAGAACTAACAATATAAGTATCAATAGCCCTCAAAATAGCGTTGAGAATTGCCTTAATGGATCCCGATAACCAGGGTCGATGTGTTTTACTGTCGTATCGTATACCTGACGCTCGTATACCTGATTTTTTTGGCGGGTTAACCCGTTATGAACAAAGAGTTCGCCGACAATATGTTCGCCGAAGCCATTCGTTGATACCGAATCCGAGCGGCAGCATGCGTTCATATTGTGACGTATGCATTCATCGGCGCCTGCATTCTATTTTTACCAGAAATTTTCGGTTTGTTATTGAGAGCACAATTTTTGCAAAACAGGTGAAATTCGATCGTCACAAAGAGGACGAATTGATTGCGCGCCT